AACGCTCGGGAGCCCCCCGGGCAGGTGAGACCAAGAAGGGCTCTGAGGAGCAACTGCAGCCTGCCCGGCTACGGAGCAAAGCGGGTGAGCCTGGCTGGGGCCCATGGGGGCGGGGGCGGGGGAGAGAACAGGGGCCCACCTCTTCACCTGCATGAAGGGGCCTGACTCTCAAAGAGAATGCCGGGGGAGGGAAGAGCGGCAGATGGCAGCCCCCCAGCTAAATTCCCCCCAGAGGTGTGGCTGCCAAGGGCTGGGCTTCCGAGAGGGACCAGGCATTCAGCCCTTGTCAGGCGGCCTGGCACCTCCATACCCCCCGCTGCCTGCCCTTCTCCTGGGCAGTTCCCGGGGGCAATTCGGGCCTGGGGGTCCCAGGAAGAGGCGAGTGTCCTGCTGCTTCTTGGAAGGCTGAGTGACCAGCAGCTGGGGGGGGGGTCCCTCTCGACCAAGAGGCCTGAGCGGCTTCATCTCTCGGCTGGGGAGCTACCCATGGCCAGCGGGGCCTCAGCCTCCCAGGCAGCGGAGGTTGGGCAGGTGGCACCCTAAGGGGATTTGGGGGGCCCACGACTGGCAGGAGAGCAGCTGCCGTGGTGGTCAGAGGCTCCCGTCCTGGCAAGAAAGGGCTCGCCAAGCCCAAACGTGGCACCCTTAGCCCTATGTGCCCAAACTGAGCTTGTTTCCTGGTTGAGCGGGAGGTTGGGCTAGAGGACCTCCAGAGTCCCTTTCAACGCTGTTATTCTGCATGGCTGGGCCCCTGGCCTGCCTCTCCCAGAGCCTCCTCCATCAGACGTGCCCCTTTTTCCCTGGCACCCCTTTGGGACAGCTGCCGCCCGCTTGTCTGTTTCCTGCCATGGAGTTCCCGCCACTCTTTCCACGTGGGGCTGGGCCAAACTCTTGGTGGCCCCCCTGGCAATGTTTCTCCCACCCCTGAGGGGCCAGGCGCCTGGGGGCGAGGCCCGGCTGACCCAGAGACAGAAAGGCAGCTCAAAGGGGGTGCCTGCAAGGGCCAGGTGAATCTCTGCCCTCACTGGCAAGCGAAGGTTGGGGGGGACTCTGCGGACCCCAGGTGGGAAGGGGTCAACTCGTCTGCCGGGCGCCCAGACCCCCCTCTCCATCCAGCCCCCACCGGGAAGAGAGGCAAAGGAGAGCCGTGACCCCTCGTCGCCCCCACCCCATTGAAGGGGACCGGAGACCTGTTGCTGAGATGGCAAGAGCCCCTCGCTCTGCTGCCTTTTTTGGGGGGGGGGGAAACCTCTGGCCACGGCCTCCCCCTCGGCCCTCGGAGGTGCGTAGCCACACATTTTTTTAATTTGAGGTAATTATCTCCTCGGAATTACTGCACGCAGCCTCTCGGGATGGGAGGCAATTAAGGGAAGATAAATTTCGTTCCGCGGAGCAAAGCTGTCAAACGGATGAAGCAATTTCATTCCCCATTTGAAGTGGGAGCTTTGGGTCATGCCTGGTTTATTTGAAACGGTGCCATCACCTCCAGCGGCTGCGGCTGCTGCCGATCCGATCGGCTCCCCCCCCCCGCCCGCCCCCTCCCCTGGAAGGGCACCGCCGCCAGCCATGACACCTGGACGCCCGCCAGAGCCTCCCCAGACGCTGCCGAGCGAGCGGGACGGGATGCCGCGGGAAGCGGGGCGGGGGAGCTCGGGGGATGGCAGGAGCTCCCGGGGACCCCGGGACGTCCAGGGGCTCCCCAAGGAGGACAAGTTGCTGCTGCCCCCGTAGCCCAGACTGGGCTTCACCTCTCTGTCCCCCCCCGCCTCCCTCCCTCCCTCTCTGTGCCCCAACTCTGCAAACAGGCAACCTGGGAGCCTCCTGTGCCCCAGAGAGGCCGCCCCCCCTCCCACCAGGGGCTTCGCAGAGGGAGGGGGGAGGGGTTGCCTCTGCAGCTTCCATCAGGTGCCCCTCCCCACCTTCCTCCTCCTCCTCATGCGCTCCTGGTTCAGGTTTGGCCAACCTTGACCAACAGAGACGGAGAGAAAGGGAGGGCTGGGGAACAGCAAAGGGCTGAGACCACCACCTCCTTTAGAGGCCTCTGGCCAAGCCCACACCAGCCTGCCCCCCCTTGTCCTTTCACAGCAGGCCAAACCCCTGCAGGATACGCTTCCCTTCACCGTATCAACCCCTCCCCTCTTTCAACGTCCAGTGTGCATTAATGCCCCCAGTCTTTACCCTCCTGGTGAGTCAAAATGCACCCCAGGAGTGGGAAAGAGGACTTGAGGGGTCCTGGGTGCCCTCTGAGTTAGAAGGGAGGGGGGTGGAGGAAGCAGAAGAGGAGGAAGACAGCGGGGTCCTGGGTGATCTCTGAGCTTGGTGGCTTTCTTGCAGATGTTTCTTTACCCAACTAGGTAACATCATCAGTGCTAGAAGGGAATGTGGTTTGTGAGGAGGAGGAGGAGGAGGAGGAGGAGGAGGAGGAAGAAGACTGGGGTGTCCTGGGTGCCCTCTGAGCTGGGTGGTTTCCTGCAAATGTTTCTTGACCCAACTAGGTAGCATCCTCGGTGGCAGAAGGGGGGGGGGTGTGTGTGGAGGAAGCAGAAGAGGAGGAAGAGGAGGAGGAGGAAGACAGCGGGGTCCTGGGGGATCTCCTGTTGGTGACTATCTTTGCAGACGCTTCATTGCCCAAACTAGGTAACCTCAGAAGTTCCAGGGATAAGCTAGCACTGATGATGTTCCCTAGTTGGGTCGTGAGACGTCTGCAAGAAAAGAGCCCGGCTCAAGCTCCCTTGGGGACGTTTCATGACCTGACTGCTCTACCAAGCCCCCCCCCATTTTCACCCTGAGCTGCAAAGATTCTCCACATTCTCTGCTGGCTGGCTTGAGGAACCAAAAGGGCACTGCAGGCCAGCCACACGTCCACTTCTGATGTTCGGCTGAGACGGCCACTGCGCACATTGCCAAAAAAGCACCCTGCACGCACAAGGGGTGTGTGTGTGTGTGTGTGTGTGTCACAAGGGCTTTGGGGCGAGACAGGGGACCCCGATATTTGAAGGGGCCCGAGAGCATCTACCGAGAGGAAAGGGACCGAGTAGCCACCAAAGAAACGTACCAAGGAGAACCGAATTTCCCGCTTGGGGGGGAAAGAGGCAGCCCTTTCCGCCTGGGGTCGGTCCTCCTTTGGGGATCACAGCTGAAGACCTCTGGGGGGGGTAGAGGAGAACTGAGGGGTGGGCCTTCGTTGGTCCAAATCCAGAGCTTGGTCTGGTTGGCTAAGGATTTTTCCCGCTTGCCTTCAGGGGGACGAGCGGAGACACCCAGTGCTAGATTAAGGGGGGGGAGCAGAGGGGCTGGGGGTCTGTGCAAGCACTTCAGGGGTCCCTGCAGAAGCCAGAGGTGGGCTGCCCTTTCCTCCCCACATCGCTCTCCCCACGCCAGACCCCTTCTTGCCTGCCCGGAGGGGGGGGGGGCACATGGATCACTTCCACCAAAGCGTGGATCTGCAGGGCCGGCCCCAAAGAGCAAGCGAGCCCCCCCCCGTCCTCGTCCAGGACAGGTCCTTAATCCAGGAGGGAGGGGGGAGGCGGGGTCCCCCTCCAGAGGGGGCTTGCAGGGGGAAAGGCCCCTCTACCAGAGGCTGGTCGGAGCTGGGGACCCCTCTGACCTGGGAGCCAGACACCTGGGCTCTCCTTAGAGCGAGGGGGCCGTGACCCTTCTCCTCTGGGGAGGGCCCCCTTGTCCCCCAGAATGCAGAAGACGCTCCCCCCTCCTTATGCAGGTGCTGGCCCTGCCGCGGCGCCCCCTGGCAGGAAGGCCGCCTGGCGTCGTCACACCTGTGCAGGAGAGACGCGGCGGGTTCCCATCCCCAGCCAGGAGCAGCCGGTTGCTGCTGCCGGGCGACTTCCTCCCCCCCCACCTGCACAGCTGCTTCCTTCCTGGAGGCTTCAGGGCCCCCTTCCCTCCCCCCCCCCAGTGGCGGCTTCTCTCTCGAGGTGCTCCTTGCAACAAGACGGAACAGACGTCGCTTCACACCTGGCTCCCAAATTACAGCACGCTGGAGCCGGGCCAAGACAAGCTGGCAGCGCCCCAGCCCCAACGGACATCAATTACCAGGCTCTTCTTCACAGCCCCCCCAACCCTCCAGCAGCCCCGACCAGACTTGGGGGGGGGAGACCCAGATTTATGGCTTCGCTCCACTTCCTCTCCCCCTGTTCCCCTCGGGAGCTGGAGCCCCCTTCGCCCTGACCCAGCCGGGGTTCCACAGGTGCTGCAGGGCTGAGCGCTCCCCGTGCTGGTCAAGGGAGTGAGGCTGGGCTCCCGTGTCCAGCCCAGGGCCCGGCTTCGGAAAGGGGCACTCTCCCCATTGCCCCCCCTTCAAGTTCACTGCCCTCGGAACCGGGACCCTCTGCCCACACGGACTGCACACAAACCCTGGCTCCCGCTGCCCGATCGGAGCAGAGGCACCTGGGAGGCGTAGTGGGGGAGGCAAGGGGGGGCAGGAGGGCTGGGTGGGCAGCAGCCTCCTCTGCCCAGCCCGGCATGGTGCTGTCCGTCTGCCTGTCCGTCTGCTGCTGCTCTGCAGAGGAAGCAGCTCCAAAGATCTCCACGCTGGCCTCCTCCTTGCAGCCCCCCCTCCTGGTGGTGGTGGGGGCGAAAGGATGGGGAGGGGGCGAGGAGGAGGCTGCTGGAGCGTGATGCAAGCCATTTGGAGTGAGGGGGAGGGCTGCCAAGGCAAGCTGCGCTCTCTAAACAAGGGAGGAAATGACCGGAGACGCGGCATGCCAGCAAGCCCCCCCCCCCCCTCTCTCTCTCTCTCTCTCTCTCTCTCGCACACACACGCAACAGCCAGCCGCTGCAGCCGCAGCAGCAGAAGGAAGTCGAGAGGGGGTTTCATGACACAAGAGCTGGATGTCAGGCGGCTAAAAGGTCGACATTTTCCCTTAACACCCTTTCTCAATGACTTAATCGTGTTCCGTTTGCACAAAAATGCTTCCCAAGGAGAGGAGCCCAGAGCGGGGAGGGGAGGGAGGGAGGGCCCGGCCTGCCCCCGGCCTGACCTTGTCCGAGGACTTCTCCACGTAGCAGGGCTCCTGGGGGGCGACCAGCAGCGGGACGAAGCCCGAGAGCAGCCGGTCCTCCTCCAGGCCCAGCTGGGCCAGGTCCTCCTCGTCGGGGTCCTTGTAGAGGGGCACCTCCGACTGGTTCACCGTGGTCAGGATGTTGCAGAAGCCGGCCAGGGTCGCCCACACGTCCACCGAGGTCCTGGGGGGGGGGCAGAGAGCGGGCTCAGCTGCTGCGGGGTGGGGGGTGGGTGGGCCCTGCGGCCCCCACCTGCTGCAACCAGGAGCAAGAGACCCCCCCACCCCTCTCTTTCTCTCTCTCTCAGTGCCGCCCCCTATCTGCCGGGAGCCCTTCGGCCGTGGGCGTGCCGAGCCCAAACAAACTCCAGCAGTAACTTTCTAGTCCTCATTGCCCCAAGGGGAGGGGCTGGGTGAGAGAGAGAAAAAAAAAACCAGCATTCTTCTGAACTGTTTATCTGCTCCTCGCTTTACAAAAGCGTCCCCAATGGTGAATTATGGAAAAATAAGGAAAACAAATTTGGAGAGGCAAGGCAGTTCTGCAGACGTGGGGCAAGGCTAAAACATCCTGACATGGAGGGAGATGTTTCCAGCACGACAGAGGCCGAAGCCTCTGAGTCACTCTGGACAGCTGGAGAAGGCACGTCCTATTATCCTGGGGGGGGGGGGAGAAGAGGAATCCGGGAGGGGCAGCACGGAGAGGAAGGGACGGAGGCTTCAATCACACTCAGGCCCAGAGGGAGGGAGAACCCACCGGGGCAAAAGGAGTCTGGCCCATGGGAGGGGGGGGAATGCCAGGGGAGCTGCCCCCTCCTCTGCCCCCCTCCAGCGCTGCAAGGGAGCTTTTCGGGGCCCCTCTGCCCGCAGCTGCACCTCTGGCAGACCCCTGGGCACGTGGGGGAAGGGGGCAGGGGCTTCTCCCACCTGGCTGTGGGCGAGCCACAGGGCCCTTTTTCTGTGCGGGGGGGGGGGGCTGGCAGGCTGAGGAAGGTAAAGGAAGACCCTGAAAGGAATAAACACATCTGCGAACATTTGTGGGGTGGGGACCACTTGCCCAAGCTGGCTGAACCCGGGGCTGCCCCATTGCCCGGGGGGCGAGGGCGCTGGGGGCAGGCGCAGGGAGCTGGTGCGCTGCTAAGAACGGCAGGGCAACCCACAGCCCCAGTGAGAGGGTGGGGAGGGGGACTGAAGAGGGGGTCTTTCCACTCCAAGGCGGAGGGGGCAGGAAAGGGGGCTGACTTTGAGCTAACCTTCTCCGGGACAGGCTTGCAGCCAGGCCCCCCCCCCAAAGCTTCTCCAGGTGGAGAATCTGCACTCATTTATTGGCTGGAATAAACGTGGGAGGGGTGTGTGTGTCGGGGGGGGGGGGGGGGGAAGGATCGGGCTGAAACGAAACATCTTGCAAGCTTCACGATGGCCCTGGGAGAGGGGTGGGATCGGCGGCCGTAAATCAAAACCTAACACTCCACCCAAGCCGGAGGGGCCTGGGACCCCTGCCCAAGATGGTGGCCAGCAGGCCGGCCAAGGGGGCGAGCAGGCATGGATGGTGGGGAGAAAGGAGGAGGAGGAGGAGGGGGGAGAGGCTTGCCTCAAAACCCCCAGGGTTAAACTGAGAGTGAACTTTCCCCCCACCCCTCTATCTGGGGTGCACTCTTCTCCCCCCCCCCCCGGCCCTGACGGGACCCGCTGAGGAGACCCAGTTGGGCACAAGAGCCCGCAGCTTCCTCCTCCCCAAGACCCACCTGGCCTTGGGAACCAGGGCCAGGCTCCTGTAGAAGACCCCCCCCTCTTCGAGGGCCGGGAAGTGGGGGCTGAGGGGCTACGGCCCCCTTGCTTCCCCCTAGGCCTGGAGAGCCTTCTTGCCCCTCCTTGCCAGAGAAGAAAAAACGGGGATGGGGGCATAAAATGTCTCCTGCATCGTGGCCCCCCCACTGACAAAGGTGGTGGTGGGGGGAAGAATGCAGCCTGCAGGCCCAGAGGACACCTTGGGCAGCTTGAGGGGGGGGACAGGACGGGGGACGGAGGGCGTCCTGGCAGGCATGCCCAGACAGCTTCAGGCATGTCCAGCCAGCCTCCCCACCTGCCAGGCCTGCTGGCGCCCTGAGGGTGGGAGGGCCATGCCCTGCCGTGGCCAGACCAGGCCTGGCAAAGATGCCCCCCCCGCGTCTCTCACTGGGACAGATTTGGGCATCGACTGGAGCAGAGAAGCCCAGAGAAGGCCAGGTCCTCTGCAGGAGGCAGGCCAGGCAGCCAGGCCATTGGGCCGTCTTCCCTGCTCTCACGCAGTGCCAAGAGAAACCTTGAGCCCCCCCTTGCCCCCCCCGCTGAAAGGATGGGGCAGGGAGGGGGCAGGAGAGCAGCTGCCTTTTGGCTCACCCGCCTGCCACCCGAAAGAGGGGCTTCCCTCCAGAGCAGCCGGGGGGGGGGGGGGCTGCTTCCCTTGTGCCCCACACCTGGCGTCCAGCAGTGCCACCGCCTGCCCTCCTGTCGGTTCAGAGCAGGGAGGGGGGGGGAGAGCGGAAGGCAGCCATCTCCGGGCGGGGGGGGGGCAATTAGGAAGATCTACAGCCTGGGGAGGGCCCCGGCAGCCTGGCGAGGAGGGCTCTCCAGCGTCCCGGCTATGTTTCCCATTATGTAACCCTGGTCACGGGCAGCCCGCCAGGCTCCCAATGAAAAAGAGACGCTGGCTTGGCACGGCCTGCCTTTTCCTATCCTCATCCAGGGTCAGCGGAGTGTCATACAGCTGCAGAGAAAGCTCCGGGGATTAAGCCTGGGCAGGGCTCCAGAGCTGGAGACCCGGGTTCAAGTACCAGCTGAAAGCAATAAACTGACTCTGCCGCAGCTGGGCCGGGCTTCCAGGCCTCGGAGTCGGGCCGGCTCCCTGGGAACCGACTGCCACCCGGGGGACGGGAGACAAGGGCCCTGTGCCGGGGCTGTGCTGGGCCGGCCGTGGGGTGGGGAGGGGAGGGAAAGAGTTCCTGCCCCTCGTCCGAGGGCCCCCCAGCCCTCCCCACTTCTTCGGCAGGAGGCAGCAGCGGGAACGAGCTCCGCTTTAGCCAGCGGAGTATCGAGCAATGGAAGTCCCGGCTCCTCACTCTCAAGCACGGCCCCACCAATCAAGGACGGCCCTGCAAGGGAGACCGGTGGGGGGGGATCAGCAGCTCTGCCCCTCTCCAGGGTAGGCAACCCCCATTGGGGACGGAGGTGGCCGTACTGGCACCTCAGCCCTGGGAAGAGCAGCAGGAAGAGCCAGGCACGGCCAGTCTGGGCCGGAGCTGCTGCCCAGTGAGGGCCCAGCGGTGGCTCTGGGGGAGGGAGGGCAGCAGCCCCACCTTCCCCCTGCCTCCCCCCCTCTCCCTCCCGGGCTCCTTCCCAGCCAGCCAGCAAACAGAAAACAGGCCCGTCCTCCTCCCCAAAGGGGGCCCGGCACTTCCTGTGTGAGAGCTCCATTTCCTCGGCCAAAACGAAAAAAAAAAGGCCAAAAGGGGGGGGGGGAAAGAAAAGGGGGGGGCAGACATCCTGCTCCTCTGGTCCAAAGGAGGGGGGCCTTCCTCGCTGGAGCCCCCCCCCAGCCTTCCCAGCGTCAAGAACCACCCAGCTGGTCCAGCTGAGCGGAGGCGGCACCGGGCTGGGCTGGGAGCGATGGAGCCCGTGGACCCACAGGACCCACCGGGTGTGTTTGTGGACCCGAGGAAGCAGGGGCACCAGCCTGGCTCCGAGAAAGGGGGCAGGGGAGCAGGAGACGTACGCGGGGGGCAGTTCCAGGGCGCTGGGTGGGGGGTTCCAGGTGTCCGGGTGTCCCAGCATCCAGTCCGACCACACCTTGATGCTGGGCAGCAGCTCCTTCAGGTCGGGCGGGAAAGCGGAGACCTTGATGTCGTCGTCCTCGGCCTCTCCCTGGGCCTCAGCCGCCCCTGCTGGAAAAGGGGGGGGCAGGTCAGAGGGCCCCCCTGGGCTTGCCGAGGCAGCTCCCGGGAAAGCCCAGCCCACGGGCCCCTCAAGGCTGCCCTCGCAAGAGCGCAACGGGCCAGCTGCAGTCCCACCACCAGGCCGCTGAGTGGGGCCCCTCCACAGCCCCCTTTGAGGGTCCTATTCTCCCCCCCAGTTAAGTGACCCCTTAAACCTGCTCGGGGAGGTTGCGATTCTCTCCCTCACTGTCTATGGCAGGGGTTCTCAACCTTGGCAACTTTAAGACTTGTGGACTTCAACTCCCAGAATTCCTCAGCCAGCTTTGCTGGCTGAGGAATTCTGGGAGTTGAAGTCCACAAGTCTTAAAGTTGCCAAGGTTGAGAACCCCTGGTCTATGGATTTCTTTCGGGATGCTATCCAGGGATCCTTGGCTTACGACCGGCCTGGAATGTCTGTTGCTAAGTGAGGCAGTGGCTGAGTGACCGCTTTGGCCCTTTTTTATGACCTTGCTAGCCACGGTCCTTAAGTGAAACTGGCTCCCCCACTGACTCCGCCTGTCAGAAGTTTGGACAAAGGGGCAGGGGACGCTGGAGCGGCCACCATTCCACAACACCCGTCGCCAAGCCTCCGAATTTCGATCAGGTGACCATGGGGGGGTGTGTGTTTCCCGCAAGGGTGGAAAGTGTGAAACACGGTCGTAATTCACTTTTTTTCCAGGATAGATGTAACTTTGAATGGTCGCTAAAGGAGGGGTGTGTAACCTGAGGACCGCCTGTGCTTCCTTTTCACAGACCGGATGTCAAATTCCACCCAGAGTCACACGGATTCGGGCGGCAGCCCCAGGAATAAATACACACATAAGCAAACAAGCAAACTGGATTGTCTGAATATTTTTGGGGGCGTGTGAACCGAGTGACACTTTGCAATGGGGACAGTGCTCTAAGGGGACAGGGAGCAGTGGGTGGGGGGCAGTGGAGAAGGTGCCGAAGGCTTTGGGCCCCCCCAACCAGGAGGAGGTTCCGAGGCCCAGGGGTGCCAAGAGCCACAAGGCAGACGCACAAAAGGAGGACCCCCCCACCTGCCTTGCAGGTGCCAGTCCCAGAGAGAGGAAGGGGGGCTCTCTACCCTTACTTGGGGGGGCAGCCCAGAGGGTCCCCGGGCGCGCTCGGGGCTGGCTGTCCTCAGGCAGACTGGGGGAGCCTCTCCTGCCAGGCCAGCCCCCTGAGAGCCACCCGTCTGGGCCGGGGAACATGGGCTGGGGGCCACTTCCTCACCGGGGGGGGGCTGAGGCCGCCCCATGAAAACCGTCGTCCACAAGCCAAGCCGGCAGTGGAGGCCGGGGCTATTTTTATGGCGGACCGGAGAGAGCCAGAGTCCACCAACCGTGGTTTGTACACGCTGTGCAAATGTTCAAACCCCGGCGGCTTCTTGGCTGAAAAGAGCAAAGGGGTCGTGGGGAGGACGAGGCTCCGACTGCAGGGCTGGGCCAGGGCAAAATGGACTTGGGAAGCCGGACACCCCAGGCCGCCACATTCAGGCAGACACTGAGCAGGGCGAGGCAGACGAATGCGGCAAAGTCTGCCCAGGTTGAGGGGCTGGCCTATTGTGTGTGGCATCTGCCCCCCCCCCGGCCTCTCCAGCTCAACCCTGGCCCCATGCATGGGGAGGGGCCCTTCTCTTCCGGGGCCCTGGCGTGGTTCCTGGGCAGGGGAGCCAGAAGGAGCCCTGAAACCCAGAGGGATCTGAATCCCAAAATCTGCCCCCCCCAAAGACAACAAAACTCAAGAGAGGATGGCCTGGGCACATCTGTTGGGGGGGGGTTTCCTCCCCAAGGCCAGCCCTTGCATCCCCCTTGAGGCCAGGACCGCCATGCTGAAAGGGAGCTGGACGGGCTGACCGGCATCTCACCCTTGCCCAGAGTGATGGGGATAGCAGTGAGATTGGGGGGGGGTCCCTAACACTGCAGCCCTCACCCCCCTCAGAAGAAAAGTGCCGGACCCGCAGACTGTGGGCCAAAGGTGCCCTGTACCCCCCCCGTGCCCCCCGCCTTACCCAGGGAGACCTCTTGCAGCAGGTGGGTGCAGCGCTTGACCAGGGTGGCAAACATGGCAAGGCCCAGGGCGCAGGCCTGCTGCTGGATCACGGAGCGGCAGTCTTCGGACAGGCACTCTAGGAGACAAGCAAGAAGCTGCAGAGAGGGAGGGAGGGGGCCACGCCTGGGGGTGCTGCCCCCCAGGTGGGAAGAGAGGGGCTGCTTTGGCTGCGGGAGTCCCTCCCATCCCATCGGCAAGTTCACCCCAGAGAGGCCGCCAGCCCTCAGCTGCCCAGGGAGGAAAGGGGAGTAGTCCCCCCCCCAAGGCCCCGCCCTGCACCCCAATGCTTCTCCGTCCAGGTCAGTGGTTCTCAACCTGTGGGTCGGGACCCCATTTGGGGTCGAACGACCATTTCACGGGGGTCGCCAAACAACGCAGTCCGCCATTTTTTTTCCCCTTTTCCTTAGCTGTGCTACTCCCTTTTATTCTATTGGCTTTTGAAAGCCAATAGAATAGACTCTCTTGAATAGAGTCTAATTCTATTGGCTTTCAAAAGCCAATAGGAATTGTCCAGGCTGTCTCTGCCCTGCTGAGCCTGCCAAAAGTCCCATTCTGCAAACGGTGCCGCACCAGTTGAATAGTCCTCGACTTACGACCGGTTGAGTAGTCCTCGATTTACGACCGGTTGGGGGTCGCGGCATTTAAAAGGTTGAGAACCACTGGTCCAGGTCCCCCCCCCCGAGTGCTGAGGTGGGGCGTCCTGTAGGACTGGCATGCTGCCCTGTTTAGCTGCCTTCTTAGGGCCTGCCCTTGGAGACTTGGCAAGGGATTCTTTAAAACCAGCCCTGCCAGTTGCCTTAAGATGGCAAAACCGGAGGGGGGATCCAGAGTAGCTCCAAAGCACTCTGACCCCAAAGGAGTGGGGCAGCTATGCCCCCCCAGTGGGCAGGGACGGAGGCAGGAGAGGCGGTTCCGCCTTGGGACTCTTGCAGTCAACAATGTCGGTCTGTGAAGCAGCCGAGGACCGGGACCGCCCCCCAAAATAGGGCCCGCAGTCAGCCGTGGGGGGCTTTGCATTACCGCGACTGCTGATTCAAACTCAGGCCAAGCACTCAAGATACGTTACGCGTCTACGGAGACTCTCCGTCCTCCAGGCCTCGAAGGTGCTTTTTCCCAAAAGGCAACTGATGAACTGAAGAAGCTTCTTGGGTGAGAAGTGAAATGTTTTCAAGGAAAACAAACCAAGAATGTCCAGTTGCCTTTTGGGGGAAAAAGCACCTTTGGGTCAAGAGTTGCCATTTCTTTCCAAGGCAGAGAAGTAAAAAGTCAGTCCCTGGAGCTGAGTTCCAGGCAAGAGACGGGGAGCGAAGGAAGAGAGGTGCTGATTCCCGAGGGAGGAGCCCCGGAGGAGGCAGAAGGACTTTCCACTGCAGGGCCTCCTTCAGACTGGTCAAATTCACAAGACCGGCATTCAGACACTCAGGTTTTCGGGGCCGAGAAATGTTAACTCCCGAGAGTGTGCTCAGTACACAACCAGCAACTGGGACAGACCTTCCAATGCAGTTATCGCACAATCCCGGGGCTTCACCCAGGCTGGCAGCCTGCCCTCCCCCTTTCCACCAGATGCAACTTCCGAGACTCTTCAAGGGGAGCCCCACGTGGAGAAGCTTGCAGCAGTCAAGACAGGACGTAATCTAGGCCTGGGCCTCTAGCCATCAGTGGGTGAAGGGGCAGCTACAGCTGGGATCCAAGGACCATCTCCAACACTGGAGGTTTTTAAGAAGAGACCGGACAGCACTTTGTCCGAAATGGTATAGGGTTTCCTGCCTGAGCAGGGGGTTGGACTAGATGACCTCCAAGGTCCCTTCCAACTCTATTATTGTTATTGATTCCAGGAATTGCTGTTGCAGCTTGCCTCCAGAGGTTCTGGGTGATTCATCACTGGGGGCTTTTAAGAAGAGACTGGACAGCTACTGGTCTGAAATGGGTTAGGGCAGTGATGGCAAGCCTTTTAGAGACTGAGTGCCCAAAAACTGCCCCGCCCCTGCCTCTCCTGCCCGCTGGGCCACCCACCACCTCCACGGCCCGCCACAGATCACCCAGGCAGCCCAGCAGCATAATGGTGGCCATGCCCTCCACCCGTGCCCCGCAGCATCATCTGCGTGCAATGGGGTGCAAGGGTGGAGTCTTGTCCCCACTGCCTGGCTACCATGTCCTTGGCTGCGCTGCTTCGTGTGGGCCACGCCCAGGGGCGACTCTCCTCTGGGGGGGGCTGCTGGTGAGGAGGGGGCCACGGGGAGTGGCGGGGCTGGAGCGATGGCGTGCGTGCCCACAGAGAGGTCTCTCTGGCACCCGTGCCATAGGTTTGCCACCACTGAGTTAGGGTCTCCTGCTTGAGCAGGGGGCTGGACTAGAACAGGGGTCCCCAACCCTCGGTCCATGGACCAGTACCGGGCCGCAGCATGCCAAACAAACAAGCAAAGCTCCATCCGTGAGATGCAGGCAGCACCCCAAACCATGCACCCTCCAGTCCGTGGAAAAACCATGGAACCGGCCCCTGGTGCCCAAAAGGTTGGGGGCCTCTGGACTAGAAGACCTCCGAGGTCCCTTCCAACTTTATTACTATTATTAGTATTGCTATTATTATTACTATTATCATCATCATCTCCAGATGTCACCCCAAAGGGAGACGTCCGGGGTCCCCTCCCTTGGCACACTGCCAGAGGCGGGGGGGGGGCTTTCACCCACAGACTGTTTCTTAGCACTTAAGGCTGTTATTCTCGCTCGAATCTAATTTCCAACACCCACAAATTCAGGAGGGCCCCAGAGCAGCCGCCTCCCAAAGTGGAAACAGCCCCGTCTCTTGTGGCGCTTGGTCTTGGGGGGGGGGGGTCAGGCTGCAACCCCCCTCCGCAAACTCCTCCTGGGCATCTTTGGGGACACCGCAGGGGCTGAGAGACGGGGCTCCCCTTTTCCTTCTGAAAACTGCTCGTTCCTCCACTGACTCTGCCCGCTGCGGTCACCTCCTGCCTCCCAAAGGCCGGAAGCTGCTCTCCTGGTCCACGCCATGGCCCGAGGATGACCTAGAGGGGGACGGATGGCCCACCTGGCAGCCTTGGGGCCAGCAGCCGGACCCTGCCAGCTGCCAACCCTGCCCGCCCGGGCAAGGGCCTGTCATGGGGCCAGAGCAGCCGTGGGGGAGGTCTTCCTTCCGCCCCCCCCCCCGGCACCAGGAGCAGCACTTTCCAAGCCAGGGCCTGGGACTTCCGGCCGGCCTGGGGTCCCGGCCAGGTCCCGGCCTGGGCTCTGCCAAGCTACCTGGGCCGCCGTTGCGCTGCAGAGGCTCCTGGTTTCCCAGAGAACAAAATATTCGTGGAAAACATAAACCAACTGTCGTCAAAGCTGTCGGATCTCAGGAAACGGATCGGCCGGCCATGTGGCCGGATGTTATGCGATTCTAATTAGCGCTGTTCATCTTTCAGCGGGAGCAGCCGCCAGTGTCCGCTCGCTGGGAAGCAGGGCAAGGCCGGCCTTGTTATTGTAACTGTCAAGGAGCCCCGAAGCCCATCAGCGCAGCCGGGGAAAGCGAGGAGCGCTTCAGGCCCTGCCCAGCAGGGGGCGCTGGAGGAGGAGGAGGCGCCTCTCGGCCAGGAAGGAGGGGGGGCGGAGGGGGGGGCAAGCCCGGACCACTCCTCCCCTCCCCCGCTGGCCTGGGGGTCCAATAAAGAGGAGGGCTCTCAAGCAGAGGAGAGACAATCCAGCCCTCCCGGAGGAGCAGGAGGAGCAGGTTTACCAGACTGGCTAGCATGGAGAGTGGAGTTTGGGGAATGGAGGGGGAGAGGAAGAGGACTGTGGGGGTTGTCTGAGTGTGGTGGTTTTCTTGCAGACGTCTCACGACCCAACTAGGGAACATCATCAATCGGGTCATGAAATATCTGCAAGAAGAGGAGGAGAAGGAAGGAGGAGGGGAAGGAGGAAGAGGAAGAAGGGGAGTGGGGAGGAGGAGGAAGAGGAGGGGGAGGAGGGGGAGGAAGGGTCCCAGCCAGAAGCACCTTCTGCAGGCTGACCACCCGCGGATGCTGCTTGGCCTCCACTGGACCATCCTCCCTGCTCTGGGCAACAGATGGACACAGGACAAGATTGGAGGGGAGGAGGACCCCCTACCAGAGAGAAGGGCAGCAGGGGGGGCGATGGGCAGAGGAAGAACTTGGGGCAGGCCTGACTCCGTCCTCCCCCGCAGGGCCAGGGCAGCGCCCAGCACCTGAGCATCCAGCCTGCCCTTGGCCCCCCTCCCGAGTGGCGACAGTCCCCCGTTGCTGGGGTGGGGTCTCCAACCCTGTCGCTCTTCCAACCGATCTCCCCACCGTCCACCCCAGCCCCGTGCAGGAGGCCAGCCCCGATGCCAGGGGCCAACCCGACCGGGGCCCCAGGGAGCCCCCTAACCTGCCCCCACCCCAAGCCCAGCTGGTTCTCATTCTGGCAGGGCCTCCCCGCCTGTCCAATTTGGGGAGGGGGGGGGCAGAGCCGAAGGCTGCCAAAACCGGGGAAGGAGCAAGGCGGAGCTGGGAGCTCCCCATGGAAGCCATCAGACACTCAGCACTTCATTTGTTTCATCCCAGGCCCCCCTCCCCACCGCCCCCACCCCAACTGCGGCTCTCAGCTCCGGCCTGCGCTCTGCTCTGACGTCATGGCCAGGAAGCAGCTGCAGAGCGGAGGAATCCCCCCTGGCATCGCCCAAGGGCCGGGGGGGGGGGGTCTGCAGGAGAACGCCGGGAAGGCCACCTTCTACCGGCCGTGCCCGGGAAGGGCTGCTGTGCCCTTGGACTGCCCGGCCAGGATCTGGGCCCCGTCCGCTCCCCCCCAGCCTTCCCTGGAGGCTGCCCCCCCCCCGGCTTCCTCTCCCCCAGGCTGTCGAGCGCAGGATGCCGCCACCCTCCGACCTGCCCGCACACACGTAGATGTGGCTGGCCTCTGCTCCGGAGGGCACGCTCTGCCCGGGCAACGGAACCAGCACAGCCTTTTCCCGGAAGTATCTGTGGAATCAGGCTCCCATTTTTAGAACATGTTATTCCCAGAAATTTCCTGCAAAGGCTCCAGGAGACCTGCTGAGAAGCCATTTCCACACGCTGCGGGCAG